TCATCATGTATTACATGCGCTTTCAGAAACTTTAAGTTTGTTTTCAAATGTCTAAAGTCTTATTACTAAAGTTACCGGTATTTTCAAAGTCAAAGGCCGGCACAACTTGTTGAAACACTTATATATATAAATAAATATATAAAGTGTATTTAATATAATATTTAAACATATATTTAAATTGTTTCAATTGCTACAAAATATTTTAAAACTAAAATGGGAGGAAAAAAACTCGATCCCCTACTGAGAATTGATCTCAAACTATATTATCGCCAAGCGTCCACTCTACCACTTGACCACACAAGATCCTCTCCAACAAGTATATCTTAAAACCAGGCCAATGGTAAATTTTTTGCCGCGGTGTACCCAGGCCAAAGCCCATGATTTCACTAGGTACACCGCCGCGGTGTACGCATCCACTTCGATAAGGTTATTAAATACTCTGCTGTTGAACTGATAAAAGGCTTACCTGTCTTGCAACAGTCATTTTGTTGAAAGTGTTCCAAAGCAGAATTCCCACTACAGTCTTTTTATCATTCAAATAGAAAACAATGCCTTTACCGAAATCTTCTGTCTCTAAATATGGTGATGCTTTTTCAGATGCAGGTGTTGTATCACAGTTCTGAAAATTTAATGTTTATTTTTTTTATGTCACTTGTTAGAGTGTGTACTTTTAGCTATAAACCAAGTGAAAGCTAATTTTTCTTTTGTAATTGTTCACATTAAATCAAGAGTGATAAATATTGATTTTGATAAGTTTTATAAAGTAAACAAAGTAAAATTGATATATTGAAAATAAAATATTAATTTTTTTAGGCTTAAACCTTTCAAGTCATGTCAGATTTTGAACTGACATATCGTCAACTATGAAAAAAAGGATTTCAGTTTTTTGATGCATAAGAGATAATTAATTACCTGTTCAGTTTCTGATCTCAGACTCTCTCCTGTTTCTTCTACAACTGCTTTAGGGTTATCTTTCTCTGTAGCTTTAGCAAACACAGCAACGGTTGGAAGAGAGGAGTCTACAATACCAATAGCTTCATATCCAACATCTGGACCTAGGTCAGACCTGAAAAGCAAAAGAACAATTTTTAAAAAAAAAATGCATAAATTTGGTAGATATTTGTCCATTTAAATTTCTCTCAGTTCTCATTTAAAAATATTTTACTTAAAATTATAAAAAAACAAGACAGAAGATTTGAATTACACTTTTACTAACATAATGAACATTTAACAATTTTTTATCAATGAATTTTCTAAAACTTCTGAGCCCCAATACCAAATATAATCATTTATGTCAGTATAAATCTTTTTTAAGCAAGGGCATAGACCAGTCACTGAAGCTATAACTATATGACTTATATGTTCACTTCATTTTGAGAAGCTTGGGAACATGAAGAAAACACATATCGGCAATATGGTTGTGATGCTAATCAATTAGTATATATAAATTTATTATCAATAAAGTTGTATAATGTTCTATCATCACAAACCTGTTTACTCTTAAAATTTACGATTTTGAAATGAATTTTACGATTGTACGCCACAACCTGACAGAACTACAATTTTAAGAGCCATGGTTGAAAATATATTCCGGTAGTTTTTCCGATTAAAAAAAAAAAAGAATACATTTATTAAAAATAAATTTTTTTTTCAGTTGTTAGTTTTAACTTGCATTCTTCATCCAGCGGTGAGTGGATTGAGAAATATGATTTGTTGGGGACCATCTATATTTATATATTATGTTTGCCCTGAGAGGAGCATGGAGTGGTGTTGAGTGTTGATTTAGGAGATATACCGAGGGGGGGGGGGGGGCGTCTAAATATATGCCTATAAAAAAACACCGCCATATTTTGGTAATCATAGGGGTGATGGACATGTTGAGTTATTTTTTCATAATGCACTAGTTGAACACATATATATTATGTTTGCCCTGAGAGGAGCATGGAGTGGTGTTGAGTGTTGATTTAGGAGATATACCGAGGGGGGGGGGGTGCGTCTAAATATATGCCTATAAAAAAACACCGCCATATTTTGGTAATCATAGTGGTGATGGACATGTTGAGTTATTTTTTCATAATGCACTAGTTGAACACGGCAACAGTAATATTAGCGTAGTTGCCCCAATGACCATTTTAGTCCGTCCGGGGCCAACCTTATGGTACATACCATATGCAGTGAGATGGAGGGAGGGGGGAAGAGGAACTAGTCAATTTTTAAGACTTTGCCTTCGCATGGTGGAGTGGGGGGGTCTCTCGGTAGAAAGTGTGTACCTTATTCTAAAATTCTACGATATTCATCATGAAACTCTGAAAGTCCAAAAATAACATTTATATCGCAAATGCTGTTAATTTATCACATCCTGCTTTAATGACATCCAGAATGTTTTCTAGGAATTATCGTAATAATTTTGCTAAGTATTTTCACAAATAACTCGCTAGAGATACTCAGATAGTATTAAGTAATAGAAGTGTTAAAGTAATATTTAGTCTACCGTATGTCCAACAGGCTTGAGTTGTGACTATTATTGTCGGGCTATGCC